TTATCTTTTTTATTATTATTCCCTCCCAGATTCTAGTTTTCAGCTATTTCTCACTTCCCTATTCCTGGTTCCCATTTTTTTCTTTCTCGTGGTTAACCCCATTCATTGTTTTCCTTTTTGCATTTCTCCATTTTTCTTCTTCATTATTTTCCTACACTACCTCTTTTCTATTACTGACCCTTCCCCAGATATTGTGGGGTTTTCTTTTTCTTTTGTTTTGGTGATTGTTCCTGTGTATCTATGCAGTGTATTTTTTGTTCACTTGCTTTTACTTTATTTTTGTCTGCTTGCTTTTACTTTTTTAATAGTTTTTTGATTGTTGTTTCTGTCCAAGTGGGAGACAGCAACTGTGCCCATACGATACAACCACACCCACACCTCCTGCAGCTCTACTTACTGAGAGCCACCACTTCCTTCTCTACCAACTGGCCAACGATAAAAGACTATCAAGAAGAGCCTGACTCACCTTGACTTCTCCTCAAAAACAGTTAACAAAAATTGAAATACAACAACCTCACAATGTCTTAGAGCCAACAGACCATCACAGCCCACACAAAGAAGCAAGATAAAGCAGTAGAAACAAGAGAACAGGATACAAAACCAGAATACATCCCTGAGGAAGCAACAGCATTGGAACTCCCTAATAAGGAATTGAAAAGAATTATACATAGATATCTTGAAAGGATTGAGAGACAGATGAAGGAAAACACTGACAAAATTAGGGAAAACACAGATGAAATCCTAGAACAATTTTGGAAGAAAATACAAGAACAAAATGACAAAATAAATGAAACAGTAGAAACAATACAAATACTACAAATAGAAACCCAGAAGAGTAAAACGAAATTTTTAGAAATACGTAACAAATTGAACAGGCAAAGAAGCAGAACTGAATCAATGGAAGACAGAATTAATGAGACTGAAGACAAATACCTGAATACTTCTTTGGAAAGGGATCAATCAGAAAAAAAGATCCAAACAAAATGAAGAAAGCCCAACGTTCATGTGGAATACCATCAAAAGGAATAACCTATATGTAACTGGAATTCCAGAACAGGAAGAGAAAAAGAAAACCACTGAGAAAACTGTTGAAGATTTGTTGGAAGAGAACTTAACTGATACGATGAAAGAAGAGAATATATCCATTCAGGAAATCCAACAAATTCCAAACAGGATAGACCCCAAAAGAAAATCATCAATACATATCATCATCAAATTCACCAAAATCAAAGAGAAAGAAAGAATCTTGAAAGCAAGGCAGGAAAAACAAAAGTTATTTACAAAGGACAACCAGTAAGAACAAGCAAGCTCTGATTTCTCAACAGAAATCATACAAGCAAGAAGGCAATGGGATAGTATATATAAAACCCTGAAAGAGAAAAATTTCCAACTAAGAATTATATACCCAGAAAAACTGTTCCTCAAAGATGATGGTGCAACTAGGAGATTTCCAGATAAACAGAAATTAAAGGAATTTGTTAAAACCAGACCAACCTTACAAGAGACACTAAAGGGAGTCCTTTGAACAGAGAACCAATAATAGCAAACAACAATCTACCATTAATATACAAGATGACATAACCCAGAAACCAACATAGCTATGGAAATATCCAAAGCGAAATAAGCTTACAAGATTATAAACAGGGAACCAGAGACATTAATTGGCAAGTGAAGATAACTACAAACCAAAAAGAGGGAAAAAATAGTGTAGTTATAGAACTTCTAAATGGTGAGTGTGGTGATTAACTTTGTGTGTCAACTTGGCTGGGCCTGGTTGAGTGTCTGGGCAGCTGAATGGAGTAATTCCTCATGGTGAGACTGGCATTCAACTCCATAGTGCAATCTACTGGAGCAGCTGGGTAGGTGCTTTGGGTATGTGGTCTGCTTCCCACATATAAGAAACAGCTTTGGGAATGGTCCTTACCTATGGCATACTTGAACCCTGCTATGTAGCTGTGTCCTTGTTCAGCGCCTGCCATGCTCTGCGACCTTGGACTTTCAGTGGACTTGAACCAATGGCCTGCCATGTGGTTTGGCAACACTGGGACTGTGCCAATTTATTTGTCAACCTTAGGCTTGTTGGCCTCAGCAGCCAGAAGCTGAGTGAAGAGATGCCTCTACCTTCAGTGGGCCAGGAGCAAGAGGCAGAGCTTAAGCCCAAGGTTGAGGGGCTTTCACCCAGCCCCTAGAGCCTAGCACTTTGAACTCAGACACAACGCCTCCAAACTGTAAGAGAATAAACTCCTGTTTGTTCAAGCCACCCCATTTGTGGTATATTCTTGTCAGAGCAGTGCTAGGTAACCAGACAGTGAGGAAATGAAGAGAGTTGCAAGGTAGAAGGGACTGCTGTAAATTCAGGGAGAAAATTATAAATCACAGGGTAATCTCAAAGAAAAATGATAAACCTTCACATCACAAAAAAGAGGACAAGCATAAATATTCAGCAAATACTAAAACCATAGCAACAAAGGAAATGAGAACACAATTCATTAACATAATGAGCTCAGCACAGAAAATTATATGGAACAAAGAAACCAGGAACACCATGAAAAAACACATAACAAAATGAGAGCAATAAATTCTTACTTCTTGATAATTACACTGAATGTTAATGGATTAAATGCACCACTCAAGAGATGGACAGCTACAGAATGGATAAGAAAACATAACCCATCAATATGCTGTCTACAAGAGACACAACTTAGAGACAAAGACAAAAAAAGACTAAAAATCAAAGGTTGGAAAAAGATATATCAAGCAAATGGCAACCGTAAAAGAGCAGGAGTGGCAATATTAATTTCTGATCAAATTGACTTTAAGACAAAAACCACCATACAAGACAAGGAAGAACATTATATAATGATTAAAGGATCAATTGAACATGAAAATATAACTATAATAAATATCTATAGACTCAATGAAAGAGCCCCAAAATAAATAAATCAGACTTTAAAGGAGTTGAAAAGGCAAATAGATGGCTCCACACTCATAGTGGGAGACTTTAATACACCACTTTCAATGAAAGATAGAATAACTCGAAGGAAACTCAACAAAGATGAAGAAGAGCTAAACAATACAATCCACCAACTTGACCTCAGAGACATCTACAGAGTACTTCACCCAACAATAGCACAATATACATTCGTTTCCAGTGCACATGGAACATTCTCCATGATAGACCATAAGTTAGGCCATAAAGAAAGCCTTAATAAATTTAAAAACATTGAAATACCGCAAAGCATCTTCTCAGATCACAATTCTATCATATTAGAAATCAACACCAGGAAGATCAATGGAAAAAGAGCATTTAATAGTATTGTTGGAGATACTGATTTAAAGTGTTGATTTTGGTTCTTTGTTCTTTTTTGATGTGTGCATTTATTGCTGTAAATTGGCAATAAGGCAAGAAAGGAAAATCAAAGGCATCCAAATTGGTATAGAAGAAGTAAATTAATACCATTCACAATAGCTACCAAAATATAAAATACTTGGAAATAAATCTTACCAGGGACACAAAAGATCTGTACAAAGGAAACTACAAAACACTACTTCAAAAAACTGTAAGAGATTTACATAAATGGAAGAACATACCATGCTCATGGATAGGAAGATTGAACATTGTGAAAATGTCAATACTACTAAATGCAATGTATACATTCAATGCAATCCTAAATCAGATCCCATCAATATTCTTTAGGGATGTGTTTCAAGATCTATTCTGAAGTACAATGTTGTCAGTGATAGGATAATATCCATATGCCTACAAGGAAGACCAGTTAATACTACTATTATTCAAATTTATGCACCAACCACCTAAGCCAAAGACTAGAAAATTGAAGATTTTTACCAACTTATGCAGTCTGAAATTGACCATGCAATCAATATGTGCTGATTATCACTGGTTATTGGAATACAAAAGTTGGAAACAAAGAAGAATCAACAGTAGTTGGAAAATATGGCCTTGGTGATAGAATAACACTGAAAACTGCGTGACAGAATTTTTTAAGACCAACGACTTACTCATTACAAATATCTTTTTTCAACAACACAAACAGCAGCTATACACGTGGACTTCACCAGATGGAGTACACAGGAATCAGACTGACTATATCTGTGGCAAGCAGATCTAGATGTTATTATCCTAAAAGAACTATCAAATTTGTCCTGGAGGAAGTGCAGCCAGAATGCTTCTTGGAAGCGAGAATAACCAGACTTTTGTCTCACCTACTTTGGTCATGTTCTCAGAAGGGACCATTCCCTGGAGAAGGGTATCATGCTCAGTAAGGTGGAGAGTCAATGAAAAAGGGGAAGATCTTCAACAAGATGGATTGACACAGTGGCTGCAATGATGGGCTCAGGTATAGCAAGGACATGGGACTGGCATGGGACTGGGAAGTATTTCATTCTGCTATGAGTTGGAGACAACTTGACAGCACCTAACAACAATAACAGTAAAATATACTTTATTAGGATCCCATATCAAAAAAGTTACAAATTTTCTTTGATAGAAAGGCTGAGAGGAACAAACAAGGAAATCTTGGGAGGAAAAGGGAAAGAGAAGGGGATAAGCAGAGATAAGAGAAGGGCAGAGCAGAGATTGAGGGGCAGAGGGAGGGAGACTGAGCGACATGAGGGAGGAGATTGAGAAAGAGGTGGGCGGATTAAGTGATAAGGCAGGGGAGACTGAGGGGTTGAGAGCGGGTGAGTCTCAGCAACAGGGGACCCCAAAACCTCAGAATCCTGGCTCCCCACATCCCTCCTGTGTCTTACCAAATCATCAATTATAAATTACTGCGAACCTGTAAGTAAGCAAAGGAAATTTTTTGCTAAACAGATAAAACAAATAGATACGACACACTGGCTTATTTCTCAGCGATTTGGTCTAAAGTTTAAGTACCATTCTAAGTGTTTTACGAATATTATCTCATTTAATCCTATACCAACCCAAAAAGGTAATGATTATTATCTCCTGTTTAGATAAAAGTAATTCCCAGAGGCACCCATGTAGAAAGTGATGGTTCCAGGTTAAACATGTCTTAATTCCAAACTCTGTGCCTTTTACCACTAGTCTCTGCTTTTCTGCTTCCTTGCCTCCTGGTCACAGAAGGCTAAGCAAAGTCTTACCAGCCATGGATCCAGCCAAGCCTGCGTAATACTCCAGGCACTGCCACGAAGTATCAATGTCCAACCGGGCCTCAAAGATGGACTTGCCATTGTTGATGGTCTCCATAGTGGCAATTTCATCCGTCCGTTCCTTTGAATAAAATAGAAGAAAGATTACATTTAAGACATATCACCATACACTTCCACGAATTCAATACCCAAACAGAATACACTACCCAAATCTTAAAGAGAAACAATGGGCACATTAAATGAAAATAAAATGAGTAACAATATTATATTTGGAAGAGATATAAAAGCTTATTTGTAAACAGCAACCCTGTGCTCCCTCTTAATTAACTGACACAGACTCAAGATCAAAACCTCATTTCAAGGTCAGTTATAAAGTAATGAGAAAGGAATATTATGTGCATATAAATACATATGTGTGTGTATGTATGTGTATGTGCGCATATGTTTGTATGTATACAATAAGAGAGAATAGTCCTTAGGGAAGTTATACAAAATATCCTCATACACCAACACACAATAGGCATTTAAAAGACTACATGTATTTAATCACTTTAATTCACCCAAAGAAATGTAGCATGTTAAAACTATAGGATAATTCTTTTCTAATACTCACCGCACATCAATACTCTTTTCAAATACCATTTCCAGTTCTGACCTCCACAACTTACTAAGGATAAAGAGACCCTAGAAATGTTGCATCTAGGGATGACCTTAATGGTTTGGGAAAGAAAATCAAAGAAAACCTAAATAATGCCTTTCTTTGGCCTAAAGAAGATAAGAACAAGTGACTATAAGAAACAGACAACTGCTATTACGCATCCCACCGAAAATAAACAATAGAGTGAATATCTGAACACACATAAATCAAGCAGCTACCAAGAAGAAACATTCCCAATTAAAACTAAAAAGCAGTAAGGCTGACCAGAAACAAAAAAACAAAATGTCAACAGAAATTAACACAAGTATAAACCTCAGAGAAGATGCAAGTAGGAATATGAAACTCAATATGGAATGCAGGGAAGAACAGTCTGATAGTGAGATTTAGACTCATTCTATTTCTATAAAGACCAGAGGTATAACGTGCTTTGATTCATTCATTATACATGCATTACCAAGAAAGAGTGACAAGGAATCTCCCTGCCTTTACAGAGCTTACTTCTCAAAGTAGAAAGTAGTAAATTCTAAGTAAACACTGCAATTACTTAGTAGACACATTACTGCAGGAAGGATAATTTGTTTATATTAAAATATGGTATAAATTAAATTCTCTTTTAAAACAGTAATTGATATTATCTTTCCCTGATACTAAACTCACCAAAACAACCTTACCACAATTACTTTGTTTCCCAGTTACATGGTACTGGCAAGAGACTACCTAAGAGGGAAATAAACATCAATACCTGAAACAGATATAAACTATACCCATTATTGAATTAGTTACGTATGATTAATATGAGAGTTTTTCAAAACTAAGCCATGGTTGGCTTAGTTCAACTTTTGTTTCTAGAATGCAAGAGGGGAAGGGGAACTAAGTATTGGATCACTAATAAGCATGAATAAACTGCTGAATTTCAAATACAGTAAGAAATACTAAACTGGAGATAGTGAAATGCTGTTCTGCTTCCATTTGACTAACACAGTGAACAAACAAGAAGTGACCAGTGGCTGTTGCTACTGATCCCTGCAATAGAAAGCTTTCTTATGAGGATTTTTTTTTTTTTCTTTTTAAAAATAATGAATAGGCAAGTAGTTTGGGAGAGTGTTTCAAAATTAATAGCTCTCAAATGGAAAGTGAATTTGCTCTGTAAACTTTCACCCAAATCACAATTTAAAAAAAAAAAGAAATAGTTGGATAGAAATATTTAAATCTTATTAATAAAAATACTGCCTAGAAAGAAGCAGAGAGAGAAAGCTTGTACTCATTGTCACTGTGTTTTGAAGTATCTAGAGATGCTCATTTACTCTGCAGAAATCCGCATGGCTAATACCTGTGAGGAGCTCTGGTAGCTTAGTGGCTAAGGCACTTTACTGCTAACCAGAAGGCTGGCGGTTCAAACCCACCAGCCATGCCTCGGAAGGAAGATGGGGCAATCTACTTCTGTAGCGATACTGCCTCGGAAACCCAAGGAGGGGTCGCTATGAGTCGGGTCTGACAGCACATAACAACAACAACAATACCTGTGTGTAAATTACCATGGGCAGGGCCCCTCAGCTACTGGCAGCTAGGTAAATGTGAGAATATGTCTTCTGATTGCAAATCAGAAACTGTAAAGGAAAACCAATTCTCTACTGGAAATACGTCTATTTTAAGAAAAATGAAACTTACGCAATGAGAGTTTTGATTACTCTGGATGCCACAAATATTTATATATCTGTATCCCAGAATATAAGACAAGGGCTGCCCCTGTTTTAGCCTAGACTAAGAGAAGTTTGAACAGCTACATTACAGGGTGGTATAATGCAATGTTTACCACTGTGTGGTCCGCCAGCAGCAGTATCAGCATCAATTCTTATCGGGAAAATTCCCAGACTCCATTTTAACCTATTAAATCAGAAACTCTAGGGATGGAAACTATTAATCTGTGTTTTAAAAAGTCTTCCAGATAATACTGATGCATTCTAAAGTATGAGAACTATGTAATATATTGACTGTAAGTGAAAATATTTTTAGCTCCATAAAATAAAACTTTATAGTTTTTTATTCAGATTAAAAAAATAAACAGATGTCAGAAAAAATTCTTTTTTGAATTTACTGGGATGTTTTTTGTGAGAGTTTTCCTATCTTATTCTGTCATTTTCTACCCTCACCACAAGGTTATTTACACAAACTCAGTATGAGCTCTTTTGATGTACCACAGAGAGAGCATAAAAAATGCCTGTGGCAAATACTGCTGAAGAGTCCAAGTGGATCCCTACTAATTGTTAATACTGCTTTATGAAAAACAGGATTCCTTTATCTTCCGAAAGTAAGGAGGGCAGGAGGATAAGGGGAAAACAATATTAACTTTTCTGTTCCCTGCTATTTCAAGAACCACCACAAGATAAAATGTACAATATACTGCTAAATGTATTTCTTTGTATATACCCCAGTTTCTCTTCTACACGACCATGGTTCTCAACTTGACCCCAACAGGTCTCTGGTGGGATGAAAGTAAGAAGCAAAGAGCAGGTCCCTTGCCTCCTTGACTTCAAACCCCTCAGCAGGTCCCCATGTCTAGCTTTTATAAGATAATTATATGAGCAAATACATACTCATTAAAATCCTGACAAGCCCTAAGCCCCCTGCAAGTTTCAAGAATCAGAGATGATCTAAGATACAACTACTAGACTCTACCTGCATGAAGAAAAAGAGAATGAAGGAAATCAAAGGCTCAAACAAGAAACTAATCCACAGAATAAAAACCCACACCAACCTCAACCTTTTCTCACCTGAGACCAGAAAAACTAGCTACTGTCCAGCTACCATTACTGACAGTTCTAACCAGGGACAAAATAGAAGGTCTCAAATATAATAGGGGGAAAATACAGAACAAAATTTAAATTTTGAAAAAAAGGCCAGATTTACTAGACCAATAGAGACTAGAGGAATCCCCAAGACTGTTGCCCTAAGATACCCTTTGAACTTGGAACTGAAGCTATATCTAGAAGTCACCTTCAGTCAAATAATAGATTGGTATATAAAAATACAGTATCACCCATGCGTAGTGTGCTCCCTTAAACAATGAACTGTATGAGACCAAATAGTCAACATTTACCTGAAAGCAAAGGTGAGAAACAAGGAGAGGAAGGGAAGCTAGATCAATGGAAACTGAACAAACAGAATGGAAATAATGAGAATGCTGACACATATTGTGAATATTGTAACCTACGACACAGAACAATCTGTATAAAAATTGTTAAATGAGAACCTAATCTGCTGTGTAAACATTCACCTAAAACACAATAAAATACTATTTTTTAAAAAAAGTAAAAAAGTCACAGACTTTGATGTCAATAGACTAGCTTTTAGATGTATACATTATATACTCCTAGACCAGAAATTTGTTGTAAGAAGGGACCATTCCCTGGAGAAGGATGTCATGCTTGGTAGGGTGGAGGGTCGATGAAAGAGGGGGAGGCCTTCAAGGAGATGGATTGGTACGGTGGCTGCGATGATGGGCTCAAGTATAGCAGGGATTGTGGGGCTGGCGCGGGATCGGGCAGTGTTTCGTTCTGCTGTGCATGGGGTCGCTATGAGTCGGAAACGACTCGACGGCACTTAACAATAACAACAACAGAAGACCAGAAATTCAGCCTTTCCATATTAAGACATCTTGGATAGAGTGGGAGAAAAATGTGGAACAAAACTCAAAATAATTTAAAAAAAAAAAAGACCAGGCTTACTGGTCTGACAGAGCTCAGAGGAATCCCTGAGACTATGGTGCTTAGTCATCCACCAAGGCTGAAACTGAACTCACTCCTGGTACTCAACTTTCAGCCAAACAACAGACATACCTGCATACCTGTGAGTTGAACAGTAACACCAGGGAGATTCACACTCCTTAGAACAATCAACCATAAGATCAAAAGAGTAGAATCTGCCCAGGAATAAATCTCAGAAGGCAGGAATGGATAGGAAAGAAGAACAAAGGGAAATGGCAACCACAGGGAGGAAGTGGGAAGAGTGCTGTTACACTGGGGACATTGCAAATAATGTCACAGAACAAAATATGTATGAACTGTTGAATGGAAAACCAATTTGCTCTGTAAACTTTCACCCAAATCACAATAAAAAGCTCAGAGGGGAAAAAAATCAATCTTTCTAAATTTGTTTTCTCATTTCTAAATTAGGCAAAACATTTCAAGATGTTTTTGACAATTAACTAATACTGTATACAAAAAACTACCTTGTATGTCACAGAACTGTTTTTAAAAGTAACTCATTTTTACTCAATTCCTAACTGAACAAAGCCTCACATCTGCTTATAAGCAATACACAAGTTGTTTCACCTTTAATAACTTCCACTACCAATTCTAGTATCCTCCATGCTGGTCTTCCAACTACCCCCTGTAGAGTGTGCCACACATTTTCCTTATATCTGACTCATATTCCCCTTCTCCTTCTGAAGGGGAAAGTGACAA